CCTTCCCCCGGGGCGGCGGGGGCGCTCTAGGACCGCAGGTTGGAGGGGTCGGACTCCGGGATCTGCAGGATGCGGCACACGGCGCGGATCGGCCGCACCAGCTTCTGGGCCGAGGCCGTGGGTTGCGCCATGGGACGCCGAGACTCCGTGCTGCGCCGCTGGGAGGGCCGGGCCGGGGCGAAGGAGCGGGTGCCCCCGGAGGGAGAGCGGGAGCCGGGCCGGGGGGAACGCGCGCCCCGGGTCGGAGGTGGCCGAGGGGCAGGGGGAGGGGGTCGTGCCTGGTGGGGAGGCCGATCCCGGGACCCGGGAGAGAGGCACCAGCGAGGGCGCAGCACGGCGCGGCACAGCTAATGGAGGGAGAGCGCGGCGGAGAGCGCAGCAGGACCTCTGATCGCCATCGCCAGACGCGCAACTGAGGAGTGGGGAAGCTGCTCCGCCGGTTTCCTCCTCCAGCACCCTGAGGGAAACAGGAGCCCGTGATTCGGCGGCCCCGCCTGGGCCTGCCCCCTCCCGAGCCCCGGGGGCTTCCGCCAACGCCCCGGCGATGCCACCGGCTGCGCACGGGGAGAATGAGCCCTTTGTTCCCCCCTCCCCCCCGCGGCACCCGGGCGCCTGCCGAGAGAGGCTCCCCTGGGGCAGCGTGCCAGCTTCCCAGCCGCCCCACCCTCCCGTGGGCCCGGCCTCGGAGCCTGGCAGGCGGGCAGCACCCCCACTATAGGTGCCAAGCCCGGGAACTGGAGCAAAGGGCGGGAGGGGCCGGACCAGGCCACGGTGGGGCGTGGTGCCCCCCGGGGTGCTAGGGCGGGGCCGGCTGGGAGGGGGCCGTGCCAGAGCTGGCAGGGGCAGTCGGGTTCTCACGGGTCAGTGATGGGCACCCTGACCGAGGCCAGCCCGGCCCCATGCCTGCTGGACCACTTGCTCCTGGTCCTCTCCAGCGCTGGCACACGGGCACACCCGGCCAGGCTGTGTCTGCCCTGCTTGCTCCTCACCTGGCCAAGCTGCTCACCACTGCCCCTCTGACCCCACCCAACAAACTCCCTCTTGGGGTCCAAGGGTAGACGGTGGGTGCCCTATGTGAGCAATTCCCGGAGGACCTGGGCTCTTCCCCGCAGTTCTTGCAGTGTCAAGAGGTGGTGGGACCCTCTGAGCTGGAGGACCGGCTCCCATCCCAGAGTGTGTGTGTGTGTTGTGGGGGGGGGGGGGGAGGTCCTGCCTATCCCAGGGTTTGCAGGCCCTATGCTGGAGAGCAGCCATGGGAGTGGCCCCTGGGAGGGAGCAGAGAGGAGGAGAGGAAATGGGAAAGCAGGGCACCCTCCACCCGAGGAAGCATCCAGGCTCCTCTGCGGGGGTGGTTCCAGAGCACAGACACAAACAGACAGATTCAAACACACACAGACAGATTCAGACACACACAGAAACCCACACGCCCAACGGGCGCTTCCCTTCCCCTCAGGCACCCACCTCCCCTGGCCTTTCTCTTTCCTCCATCCTCAAGCTTGCCTCCACACAGCCCAGGACAAGGCGTGGGCCCCCTCCCCATCCCCAAGCCGGCTCCTTAAAAAACGAGGGGATAAGATGCTTCCAACTTGGTTCCAAGTCATAGCACCAAGCCAGAGAGAGGGACCAAGGAGAGCCAGGGAGCCTTCCTCCTGAGACCCTGAGAGAAGGCTGGCTGCCTCTCACCCTTGAGGAGTGGAGGTGGAGGTCCTAGGGGCAGTGGGGTGTAGGGGCTGGTTCATAGGACAGGATCTGGGCTGTGTTGGTATAGTTGAATGCCCCCTCTTTCTCCCCCCTCCCCCGAGGTCAGCTGGGTGGCAGAACAGGCTGGTAGGGGCTGTTTCCCTGACCGACTTCACACTCCCTTCTTCCCCCAGGTCCCTTGAGGGGTAGTCCAGACCTCAGCCAGCCAGAAGGAGTGACCCACAAAGGTCTAAAGCAGAGGCAAACCTCACCCCACCCCCACCCCTGTCCCCAACCTCCCCACTCACTATCAGACTGGCTTCAGGGATGAAGATGGTTGGCGGGAGGGAGGGAGTCTGTGTGTCTTCTGCGGCCTCCTTCCTCAGCAGCCAGCAGCTTGTGTAAAAGTCCTGTGGCTTGGGGTCTAAAGGGCAGGACAGAGAGGGGGCCCTGAGGGCCTATCGCTGTCCTCCTTAAAAGGGATGGGGACTGTCTCAGGGGAGCAGAGAAACAGCCACCCCACCCTACCCCAAATTGCCATGTCTGCCATGTCGGTCCCATCATCGGACTAGACCAATTCTCTCAGGACAGGCCCCTGAAATGCCTTGGGGTTCCTGGTGGGTAAAGGGAGAGCAAGGAGCCTCCCCACCTCCCCTAGCTGCCCCAGCCTGCTCCCAGAACATTGCCCCGGGCCCAGAGTCCTTGGAACCGCTGTTCTGTGTCTGAGGACAGAGCAAGCTGAGGACACACACAAAAGACATAAACACAGGAAAAAAGCCACACGAAGCATGGACACAGCACTAAACTCCTGGAACTCCTGGACAAAGGCAAGCTGACCACTAGCCCCGGACACATGCAAGTGGGCCCAGCCCCGGGTCCACACCAAGCCCTCCTGCGTGTGCGCGCACACGCACGCGCACACACACACACACACACACACACACACACACACACACATACATAAACACACGCCGAGAAGCACTGCACCACTCACGAGACAGCTGCCAGCACACCCTTACCTGGGCTAGCACAGTGCCCCTCGGGTGGAGCAGCCCCCTGCCCAGGGGAGGGCAGCAGGCAGGGGCGGGGGAAGGAGCCCCGGAGAGTCAGGCCAAGCTGCCACTAATCCGGGCGGGGAGAGGGGGGGGCACCCACGTCAGAGCGGGGACTGCCGGGTGGAGGGCATCTGAGGACATCCCCTCCCACACACGCGGCCGTCTGGGCACCTAGCCCTACTTCCCCAGCCCCTCCATCCTTCAGACAGCTGAGGCTGGCCTCCCCCCACCCCACCCCCCACCCTGTGGCAATGCCTGGGGCGGGGCATGGGGGGAGGGGAATACCAGGGAGAATTCTCCCAGGACCTGGGGAGGGGGGAGGGGGAAAGGAAGGGAAGTTTGGAGATGCTGAGGGAGCCAGGAGGAAGCTCTGTGGCAGATGCCATCCTCCCCTCAGGCCCACCCACCCACATCCCTGCCCTAATTCCTCTTCTCAGTCAGCACCTTCCTACCTCCCTGCTCCTTCCTCCCGGCCCCCAGCCCTAAAATCTGACCAGCCTGGGGGAGAAGCACCTCCATTCTGCCTAGGTTTCAAGACCTTTTTGCCTAGTGACACCCCCTGTGGACCCCAGCATGTCCCCTGGGTAGTGGGTGCCATCCTCCTCCCTGGTTTCTGTCCCCTACCCAGCTACTGGGTGTCCTACTCCCTGATGCTGGGTGGGGGGCAGGGGGTGAGAGCCTGAGTGCTCATTTCCTCAACCCCCTCAAGGGTGGGGCAGTGCCAACCAGGATGCCCCAACTCAGCCCCAGCTAGGCTGTGTTGAAACAAGAGGCCAATTACGTGGCCCAGAGTAACAGCTAAAAATACAGCAGTGGGGCCATGTGTGTATCGGGCACGTGGAGGCCAGAGCGGGGAAGAGAAGGCCAAGAAATGGATGAGCCAAGGGTCTAGGCGGACAGACAAGGGGGATGAAGAGGCAGAGAGAGGACAGGGACAATTTGAAGGTGCAAGGAATGGGGGGTCAGGGGAGAGGGAGAAGAGAGGACTGAAAATGAAGGAGATATCTGCATCTCAACTTGGAGGAGATGGAAGAGTTCATCAGAAGCAGGCAAGATGCCATGGTGAGCCTTACAGCAGAGCCCAGGACCACGTGGAGGTGCTGCTTCTAAGGGGGCTGGCCTCGATGGATGGTTTCCTCTGCCTACCCAGTGCCCAGTATGGAGTTTAGAACATCAATGCCCTGCCCTGATCCTGCTTAGGGTGGCAGTGGGCACAGTGGTGGAGCTCAGCCCATACCCAATGCCCCAGACCTGGGGATCACATGTACACTTGGCCAGAAATGCCCCAGAACTTGGATTTCTCCTTGCTTCTTACCCACTGGCCAAAGAGCTCCTGGAACCCATACAGCTGCCATCAGCCATTTACAAAATATGTATTACAGAGACTCTGGTATTTTTGAGGTTCTGTGGTGCACCCCAAGAAGATAAAATGCAAAGACCAAAGAACATGGCCGTTCTAACCCTTGAGGAGCTGGGAGCCACTTATGTGTCTTTGCTCTGCCAACAACCATTTGTTTAAGCCTCTCAGCTGTGTGTGTGTGTGGTGTGGGTGGGCCCTGTGGAGTGACTGTTAGGGGAATCAGACCTATTAACGAATGATTTACAAGGTGCTTTGAAACCCTGCCTGGGGAGCAGAGGGGCGCCTCAGAGAGGAGGTGATGCTTGCGCTCAGAGAGTCTTAGAGGATAAGTCAGCCTTCACCACAGAGCCACACACTTACATAAACATCTCACTTTGGTTAAACTATCCTTTGTCCCAGGCTGAGATACAGAAGCGAATAAGCTGCAAATCTGTTCTTCATCACATCACAATGCCGAGGGGGAAGAAGGCACAATGTATTCCAGGCATACCCAGAAGTCTGTGCGAGACCCAGAGTAGGGGCCAGGGAGGCTTTCGGAGAGTTTCTTGAAAGAAGTGATGTGCTACTGGGGTCCCAAAGTCAGAGAGGAGAAGGACAGAGAGTTGGGGTGGGAGCACGTCGCCTGGCAACAGCAGGCAGCCGCTGCTCAAAAGCATGCTAAAGTCTGTCCCTGATTTGGGGGACACTAGCAGTTGGGGTGCGAGAAGGGAAGGCAAGGGGCACCCCAGCACAGTCGGGCTAGTGATTATGAGCCGTGGGAGCTTGTGCAGGGGCCCACGAGTGAGGAGGGACTCGTGGAGAAAGCAGGTCTTGCAGGGTGAGGAAGGACAGAGGGCAGGAGAGTCGTGTAGCCCGAGCAAAGGCCTGGAGCTGGACTGAGTGTGGCGCATCCAGGAGACTGGAAGAGGGCCGCCGACAGGAGGCAATGCTCTGGGGCAGGAGCATGAGGCATCATCAACTCCCGGGCAGCCTATCGCCCACCCTAAGCCCGAGTCCTAGGGATGAGGGCAATGAAAGGACTGGCACCTTACGCAGTTTCAAAGCACCGGCCTTTTTTGGGACTTTGATTTCGCTTTGCCTAGTAACTCGATGCTACTGGGAACCCCAGGTTTTGTTCAGTCTGCTGAAGTGTGCTTCTCAGCCCAGCCCACCCACGCCAAGACGATGGACTCCTGTGCTGGGCAGCGTCCCTCTCAGAAAGGCGGCACACATTGTTGCCTTTGGACAGAGTGCTTCACCTCGCTGAGCCTCAGTGCTGTTGTCTGTACAATGGGTCTAACATTTGCCTCACAGGCTTGTTGGGAAGACTGAGAAAGAACCTCTGCAGACTGCCCGGAGGGTCAGGCAGACATCTGATGTTCGACACAAGGGGCCTCCTGTTCACCCCAGCCTTACACAGTGGGCCACTGAGAGCACTGGCAGGGGTGGTGGGTGAGGGGCAGCCCTGTTCTCTCCTTGCTGGCTGGGCATCCTTGGTCCCACTACCTGCCCGCTGTGCTGGTTTTCCCGCTTGTAAAATGGGAGATGATAACAATAGTCCCTGCACCGGGCAGCTGCTGGGAGGGTGAAGTGGGTCCACCCATGGGGCTTGGAGTGGCGTCTCCTGCGTGGCGGTCCTCACACCCCCCGGGCGAGCCCTTGTCGCCCCGCATCATTAGTAGAGTGCCCTGCCCGGTACTTGGTAAACACTCAAGGGGAAAACGAAAACAAAGCCTCCCTGATGTGGAGTCCACGCTGACCTTTGGCAATCTTCCGAGCCAGGGGATGACTGTGCCTGTGGGCTTCTGAGACGGTAACGCTATATGGGTGTAGAAAGCCCCACCTTTCTCGGGCGAGTGGCTGGTGGTCTCGAACTGCGAACCTTTTGGCTAGCAGCTCAACATGTAACCACCACGCCACCAAGAGGGTCAAGAAAGATTTTCCGAATGCCTAAGCTGGAGAAGGCCATCATGCTTGGTAGAGTGGAGGGGCAGCGAAGAGGAAGGCCCTCAAGATGGACAGACCCAACGGCTGTAACCACAGGCTGACACAGGGGTCATGGCGCGGACGGCGCAGTGCTTTGTTCTGTTGTGCGTAGGATTGTCTTGGGTCACACTTTGATGGCACCTGACAAGTGTGGAGGTGAGGTAACACCTTGCCGCAAGGGGATACCAGGAAGGAAACCAAGTGGCACCCAACACACAGATTAAGCACTCCCTCACCACATAAAACCTGGATAATCCCCACACCAAGAGTTAATCCATACTCTCAGGCCATTTAGGGTGACACCCCTTTTCCCTCCTTCGCATCCAGTCCTCTCCCCCACCTCTTTGCTTAGTGGGAAGTGGGGAGGGAGGGAAAGCATGGTGGTGGAGAGAAGAGCTGCTCAGGACCCAGCAGGGAGGCCGGAGTCCTGGCTGCCCCAGCATTAGAACAGGTATGGAATGGAGCAGCCCTGCCGTCTGTCTGGGTATCCAGAGAGCAAAGGACCAGCTGAGCAGAGTCATGGACGAGGCAGGGCAGAGGACCAGCCCAAGTGGTGCATCTGTCACCCTCCAGTCCCAGAGCTGCCAGGCGTGGCAAAGAGAGGCCCTGGCCTGCTTCCAGATCCCACCCCCTTGACCTGGAAGCTGGGGCCAGCTCAGAGCCAGGCAGCTGCTGCCCTCTCGTGGCTATTCCACAGAGGGACACTGCTTCCCCTTTCCCAACAGTTACAGGAACTCCATGCTCAATGGCGGTTGAGATACTTGGAGAGCCCCGCCCCCCACGCCAGGTTCATGGAGAAAGGTCGCCTCAGGCTCAATCTAAGGAGTCCATAATGCATAGTGGTTGCATGTTGGGCTCCTAACTTAAAGGTCAGCAGTTTAAAACCACCAGCCTCTGCACAGGAGTGACGGGCTCAGAAACACAGGGGCAGTTCTACCCTGTCCTGTAGGGGTCACTGTGAGTCAGCATCGACCTGGTGGGCCAAGGACATCATGCTAACAAACGTGCTTCCTCAAACACCTTCCACACTTTTACCATCACTGGCTTCTCCTTGAAGCTTAACCCTACAGCCTCTGACACAGGATTCCGCCTCAGCGCTGTTCTCAGTCTCATCTCCTCCAGAAGCCGGTGGGCCGCTCCGAGGCCCATCCTTTCAGGCCGAGTGGCCAGCCCACAGCAGACGATTCGGTAAGTGCGTAGTGTTTGATGAGAGCGAGATGCACACCGGGAGAAACAGCATGCTTTTATGTCTTTATTTACAAAACGTTCACGGGCCTGATCTCACTCGCCAACACAAAACATCCAACCCAGACAGGCGCAGACACACACAGACACACACACACAAGGGCCTAGGAATAGGCCAGTCAAGTAGTTAGAGTGAACTCCACTGGGTGGGCTTTGGTTTCACTTGAGAAGGGGGGTTGGGTGGGTGGGGGCTGGTCCCAAGCCCAACATAGGTGGAAGAATGAGGAAGGCAATAAATAGAGCCCCGGGCCAGCCTGCTTTCGTAGTTGTGGATCCATGCTGAGTCGGTGGATGCAGGCCGGCCACAGGTGCGGGCAGAGGTCCCCTTGAAACGGCCTCCACCTGCAGCAGGGCTTGAGGTTAGACTGGACTGGCCTCCTCAGACTAGCTGTCTACGTCCGAAGGCAAAGCCTTTCTCCTTGTGCGCACCTTCACGGAGCGTGAGGTTCCCTGGGGGCAGAGAGCACAGGCACTGGGCGATGGCTGGCTGGAACAGCTGGGGCCGCCCACTGCCCGCTCACACCTTCCTCGCTGCTGACCTCCCGGCCCAGTGGCTTCCTCTTGATCACTCGCAGGCTCTGGCTGCGGCTCAGAGGCTTCTCTCGGGGCCGCGCTGCCGGCTGGGGGACAGTCTCAGTATCCGACCAGCACTCATTCTCTGTGTCACTGTCCTGAAGGCGCCCTGCCCGGTACCCTGTGTGTGGAGGACACGGTGGCCTGGGTGAGGGCAGCTGCAGGCCCAGGCCCAGCCAGCCCTCCTCCAGCTCTGGGGAAGCCAAGCCTCCAGGGCAGCTTGGGGTGCCTCTGTCCACTCACCGATGGGGGGTCTCCGGCGGGGCACCTGGTCCTCCAGGTAAAGGGGATCTTGATAGGTGGGGGCAGAGGTGTCGGGGATGGAGCGCAGGTCCTGCATAGAGAAGCTCCGCAGCCTGCCAGCCAGGGCACCCTGACTCTGTTGGGGGTGGGGTGGGGGTTAGGGGGAGACGACTACTGGATCATCTGTAGGGGGTGGGGCGCTCCTAGCAGGACGCTACCAGGTGAATAGAGGGCCCAGTTGAGAGTGATCTCGGGGACACAGGACTCAGAACTGAAAGGAACTCGGCAGTCATCTAGCCCCAGGGCATGGTGGCACCAACAGGATGGGACCAACCGGAAGAGCAATCGACTCACAGCCAGTGCTCCAGTCAGGAAAGCCTATACTCCCAGCCCCACGCTCTGATCCATACCCCACCTGTCCGCTCCTCAGCCCCATTCCCTGGCAGACAGGACAGCTGCTGTCTCTCAGCTCCCTGACACAGAGCTGGAATCACCCAAAAGACCCAGCAGGGTGGGGTGGCGGGGCTGCTGGCTGGAGGGCCGGGGACCCAGCACCTTCGTGGCAGCCTGCACGGCAGCCGAGGCGGCCATGTTGAGGCCCCGCTTCCCAAAGCTGAGCATCGTCTCGTAGCTCCGCTCCTTGGCCTGCACGATGTAGCTGTCGATCTCCTGCAGGCCCAGGCAGGAAGAGTTCAGAGGGCAGTCCTCCACACAGGCCCCCGAGGAGGAAGTAACTGCCGCGCCTCCCGGGCCTCCCCCCAGCCACAAGGCACCAGCCACAGGCAGGGGCCAGGAACCCACACCGAGAGTAGGGGTTCCCAGCTCCCTCACCTACCCCCACATTCTCAAAACAGCTACCCATTACAAAACTGAGGCCATCCTTATGCACCCCCTGATTTGAGGATCATGACTGATAAGGAAGGTTCGTCCCTGTCCTGATTCCATAATGAAACCGTGACAGGGCCAGGACCGATCAGAACTTGGGTGTCTCCAGTGTCCACAACGCACCCTTGGCCTGCTGCCCCCCAACCCCCGGCTGCCCCCCACCCCCGGGTACCTTCTCATGGCGGGACAGGGATGGGTGGACAAACTTGCGGTAAAGCAGGCTGGCCCCCTTGGTGTAGGGTGACAGCAGCCACAGCATAAAGGCCATCTTGATCTCATAGTAAAAAGGGAACCTGCAGGAGCACCGAGAGCAAGATGAGGTGGGGAGCCAGACCAGGTGGGCTGCCCCACCCCCCAGCCCACCACCCCACCAGTGTACCAGGAGATGAAGATGTCCGTGAAGGTCTCCAGGGACATGAAGAGGGCAAAGACAATCCAGTACATCATCCAGCGGACCTGTGCAGGATGGCGGGCAGAGTTCTCCCTGGCTGGCCCTGGAGGACACCCATGAGTTCCTCCCCAGCCATCCCAGTGCCTGGGCCAGCTCCCCTCACTCCCTCACTCCCACCCACAGGAACGGGGCCTTCCCTTGCTTCCCCTTCCACTCAGGACACCCTCATCTTAGAGCTCCCCCAGCTCAGTTACCACGACCTGTCAGCCCACCTCCCCTGCCTTAGCCGACCCCTGCACGCACATATTCCCGGATGTTCTTGGTCTTCACAGCCTTGTAGGAAGCGTATGCCGGGTACAACATCCCGAACACCAGCCTGGAAGAGCATCCCAGGGCATAGAGGCAGTCTGTGAGGGGCCCTGTGTGCCCCCCACCCCCTGCCAGGCAACCTCTCCCCACCCCCCACCCCCAATGGGGTGCGAGGAGGCCCTGTTTTTCCCGCTTGGCTTGCACAACTCGCACCTGAGTCAATGCCCTGGAGGCCACCACCCCACCCTGTTGTTTACAAACATCCCAAGCCTGCCTGGGCCTGCACCAGTGGCCCATGGGTGCCTGGTGGCGAGCACACAGCCATTCAATGGGACTGGGTAGGAGGCTGACTGTCGTACCCTCCCAATTGGGAAGCAATCAGGCCCAGGGCCACCAGACCTGGCACTGCCAGGATGCAGACAGGGATAGTGCAGCCAGGTGCCGGAGCACTCAGAGGTGACGAGCCGGACAGAGTGGGGAGGCTAGGCCAGGAGGGTGAGTCACGTGACTGCTCAGCTCCGGAGCAGGCACCTGGATTCCCCGCCCACAGCATGCCACAACGCCTTGTTTGCCAAGGGACTGTGGGCCAGCCGGCGGCTCTCTACCACCCCCGCCCCCCCTCCCCCCACCATTCTGCAATGTGAGTGCTGGAAGGTCGCCACTATCCAAGTAGGCCGAGGGGGTGCGGGGGTGGGGTGGGGGGCACTTAGCACGTGCTCCCGAGAGCCCGCCTGCAGACCTTCAGGTCCGTTAACCCTTGAGATGAATGGGGGGAGGGGAGAGTAGGGGTGTGATGGAGCCCAGAAATCCCTTTTTCTGACATCCCAGATTCCACCCCAAGGGCGGGCTGGCACCGGGAGTGGGGGGAGTTTAAGCGGCCATACTCACACTACCAGCCGGCAGATCATCCACGACACCATCCTGCCAGCCGCGGGGGCGAGAGGACACGCCCCAAGAAGGCACCCAAGAGGGACGATCACGCGGGGCGCAGGTGACCCGGGGATCCAGGGGTATGCGGGAACCGGCGGGAGCGTCCGGCTGTCCGTTAGCGGAGTCGCAGCCCGCAGAGCCCTGGCTCCCCCGCGCGGTGCCGGGGAAAGGGGAGGCAAGCGGCAGGGGGACCAGGCAGCTCGGCGGCAGGAAGCCGATTGGGGAGCAGGGGAGCCGACGGCGTGGTTCTCTGCCGCGCCTCCCAGTCAGTTACGGTTCCGATCGGCACTTCCTGCCTCGGAGAATCGGGCTCGCGGCCCGTGCAGGGGTGGCGGCTCGCGGCTTCAGCTCGTACGGGTCCCCGAAGTCCCGGTGCTCCCGGCCACCAGCACCGGCCTCGGGGGCGGAGTTTACAACTCACTTAAAAGTTGCAAGGAACTAGATTCCGTCCAACCCCGAGTCTCGGGCGCTTGGCGCAGGCGCAAAGCGGTCCAGGGACGGAGGCGGGGCCTAGGTGTGGGCGGTGAGAGTCCTGCCCCTTAAAGGGGCGGTGCGCACCGACCTCGCGGAAGGAGTCCGTCGGCAGAATTATCCTTTCTGATCCGAAAGATTGGAGAGAAAAAGTGCACTAGACAGGAAGAAGCAATTCTGGATTTCATAGATTTCGCATCTCATCACTAGTTTTTCTCAATGCCCTTCCTGCTTGCCTCATTTGTTCTGCATTAGAGCTTAAATAGGAGCACCCCATTTGCAGAAGGCTATGGATGACAGTGAAAACTCAAAGCTCCGTTTGTGGTAGTCTTGCTGACCATTAACCAAGAATGTAGGTAGTCTTGCCTCAGGCAGAGTGCTTTAGAAAGTGGATTACCTCCACTTCCTCTTAAGCAAGCGCCGGAAGGGGCTGTCTCTTTTAATGGCTTTCCTGGGTGCGTCTTTAATGGAGGTCTCCTCACTCAGAACCCTGTTAGGGTCCCATAGTCATGTATCACCCATCACTGGAGCCCTGACTGTCTTGGTCTGAAAGCCCTAGTCCAATCTGGTAAGCTCTTCTATCTAATATTCAAGGGTAAAAATATAATTTAAGGAGAATATTTATTAAGTCTTAAAAGGGGCAAGGGAGCCAGTCAGGGTGCAGGGTAGCAACAATGAAACATACAACTTTCCTCTAGTTCTTAAATGCTTCCTCCCCCCACTATCATGATCCCAATTCTACCTTACAAATCTAGCTGGACCAGAGGATGTACACTGGTACAGATAGGAAGTGGAAACACAGGGAATTCAGGGCAGATGATCCCTTCAGGACCAGTGGTGAGAGTGGCGATACTGGGAGGGTGGAAGGACAGTGGGGTGGAAAGGGGGAACTGATTACAAGGATCTACATGGGGGATGGACAACAGAAAAGTGGGTGAAGGGAGACATCTGACAGTGTAAGACATGACAAAATAATAATAATTTATAAATTATCAAGAGTTTATGCTGGAGGGGGAGTGGGGAGGGAGGGGGAAAATGAGTTGATATTAAGGGCTCAAGTAGAAAGCAAATGTTTTGAGAATGATGATGGCAACAAATGTACAAATGTGCTTGACACAATGGATATAGATTGTGATAAGAATTGTATGAGCCCCCAATAAAATGATAAAAAAAGTGGGGGGACGAGGACAAGGCAAAGACCCACATACATCATCGGATGAGGGAGGCCAATTAGCAGGACGTGAAAATGGCACCTGAGGATCCGTCCTTCATAAGGACTCCCTTTGATTGCAAAACAGGCTTCGGCGTGAATTCTTTCCTCGTGCAAAGCCAAGAACTGAGGTGTGGGGAGAAAGAGAGGGTCCCCCACAAATCAGCACAGGTCCGGTAGGCGCAATTGTACAGCGATAATAAGTAAAGATTATAGTGAAGTTGTGGAGAGCACGAGAGGTAGAGGAGTCAAGTAATGGAGTCAGACACAATTCATGGTAGCATGCTCACCTCAGCCCCCCTTGGTGGTCCACATGGGGGGAGCCCGGCCAGGAGAGCAGGAGAGCCCTCAGGACCGAGAATTGGGGAGAGCTTTTTCTTTATTGCTAACCAAGCATTATATCTCTTTAGGGGCACATGATTACAGGTAACCACACGTCACAGGAAGGGGCAGTACAATGGGCATACACATTGTAGGAAGGGGATCTATGATAGGTATAAGCGTAACAGGAAGGGATGAGCTAGCGGTGTGCCTATAGGAATGGGAAGGTCTAGGGGTATACGTGTGACAAGATGGGCGCACCCTAGATTCATGATGGTGGCCTAACCTTGGTCATCCTTGGTCAGGTTTGACCTCTCTGGTGTCTCCTACAAGGAAACAGACAACCACTATCCTTATCAGAAGGGAGTGGGCCCTACTTGTTGTGGGATAAACAGTGGTGTCTGCTTGCTCCAGATGTCTGATAGCTCTTAGGGAGAATGACCCCCAATCTACTCCTGATGACCTCCAAGTGTATAGTCATTCTCAAGCAGCTAAGTCTGGCATATATTTGGGGGAGACAACTTGGGAGAAATCCTTCTGTTTCCCATACTCAGGTATTACCCACTCGAGAAACCTCACAGGAGTAGAAAGTCTTATCCTCCTCCTGAGAGGCAGCAGGTGGATTTGAACTGCTCACCTTGTGGTTCGCAGCCCAATGTGTAGCCCACTATGCCACCAGGGCTCCATCCCTTCATCACAGAGGTTTGACATTCCATCTATTCTTGTGAGCCAAGAACACAAGTATCCCTGAGTACTGACTCCAGTCAAGCCGCACTCCAATCCCCCCCCCCCCCCCCCCCCCCGCCCCCATGTTCTGTGAAACAGGATACTCTGTAATTTGGCTATGGTGGGGACACCATATTACATTTACACAGGCAGCCCTCACATGATGAACTCTTCCTCAGTGGGATTTGTTCATAAAGTGTGCATCGAACAGGTAGGAGCAGTTCACATCTAACGTCACCTAAGCAAATATTTACCATAATGTTAAGTGTACCTTTCTATGTATTAAAAAAAAAAAAGTTTTACAGAAACCCTTCCAGATACACGCCAACATCTTTAACATAATAAAATAATAATAATAATAATAATGTTTTGATGGATGGTGCAAAGTAACACCCACTAGTGATTATGAACCATTGTATGCACCTGGGACTTTTAGTATCTGGAGCTGGGGGCGAGCTTCATGGGGACTGGGCTCCTGGCCCTCTATGTGGTGGAACTGCCCAGACAGACTTTCTGCCGCCGCCCAGGAGGGTAATATCCATGGTTGTTCTGCAGTGCGTGTCTGGGCACAGAGCCTTCATCTTTATGAAGATGGTTTGTCCCATTGAGGAAATCAGCTCAGCAATGGGCAATCACTTGCCTACTGTCACCCGGCTGATGTTGGTGTTAGTGAGCTGCACACCCCTGGGCGGGTTCCAACTGTCAGCCTTTCCCCTGATTGTCCCACTGGTGGTCTAGCACGTGGCCCTGCTCACCACCCAGGGGCTCCGGTCACTCTAGCACTAGAAACTTTGAACAGTGGTGTTTGTTGCAGGACAGCAGGTTATGTTTGATTGGCTGTGGCCCTGGGGCAGGGCCAGAGACCTGGAGAACTTCCTCTGGGAGCAGGGCATGTACCAGAAAGAGGATGCTAAATTAAACTTCTTGTTATCCAGCTCATTGCAGGGGTCTCAGAGCAGCACTGTGCTCCTAAGGATCGACTGCATGGCGGTGACTTGCAGAAGCACACCAATCACCTGCCTGGTGCATCTGGGTGAGGCTCAGCTGCCCACCTTTCCGTAGCTAGTCCAGCGTTTAACACTGCATATTACCCCAAAGGGAAAGCCATGCTTGTTGCCATGAGGCTGATTCTGGTTCACATCGCCCCCATATGTCCTGGAGTAGTACTGTACCATGTTGCTGTTAGGTACCACCCAGTTGGTTCTGACCCATTGGGAGCTTCTGCCCAGCAGAAGGAAACACTGCCCCTACCTACTATGGAGTAGATCTGCTCCATGGGGTTTCTAACCGTCATCCTGACGGAGGTAGACTGCCAGGCCTTTCTTCCACAGCACGGCATGATGGGTTTGAACCGCCTGCTTTTCGGTTAGCTATGGAGCGCAAACCATCTGTGCTGCCCACATCAGAAACTGAACCCACCGCCTTGCGGTTAGAGCCCAGTGTGTAACCACTCCGCCACCAGGACTCAGACTCAAGGAGGAAGGCGAATGTTGCTACTGCTTCAGTTACAGATTTTCTTCTTTCTTTACTTTTTTTGGTGAAGCCTCTGCTTAGTGCCTCAGTTCCTCTCCCTGAAAGAAAGGGGGAGAGCAGTGTGCCCCCCACATACACACGTGCCCTCTGCCTGCCCACCTCATGATGCTGGGGAGAGCCGAGGGTAGAGCTGCCCAATGCTGTGGTGACCGGAACCCTGGGTGGTTATTATTTTTCAGTAGAGCCATCGTTAACACCCACCTCCTAGCCGAAGGATGGAGTAGGTCATGAGGGAGCCCAGGGAGAGGAAGCTTCTTGGGGACAAGTAAACACACACAGTGATTATGCAGTCTTAATGATGATCATCCATTTTATTGGGATTGCCGAGGGTGAGAGCCAGTTGGCAGTGAAACCAGCCCACAGGAGAAACTCCTCCAAAGCCGGGACAAGACGCCTCCCTCTCCCCTCCTTCCTTCCCTCACCCTCAGCCCCGGCTCACCTCGCTGCCCTCCAGGCGATGCTGACTTTAGAGACCCCACGGGACGCCGTGTGCGTTTCCCAGACTCATGGTGACCCTACAGGACGGGGTAGGACCGCCCCGGTGGGTTTCCCGGACTGTAACTCTTTACAGGAGCAGAAAGCTTTATCAGCGGCTGGTGGTTTCAAAATGCTGACCTTGCGATTTGCAGAGCAACTCGTCACCAGGCTCCTCACTCCTGCTCTACTGGGCAGGAGGGAGGAGTGCCCGGGCCAGGACCTGCCTCCGGAGGCCCAGACATTGCTGTGGGGGTGGAGAGTGACTTGGGTCTCCCTGAAGGAGGAAAGCTACCCAGTGTTTGAGCAGTGAGGAGGGGCTGCAGAAAGGGGAGGGCAGCCCACTCTGGAGGGAGGGCTTGGGGAAAGCTGCAGGCCCTTTGGTACCAGCTGCAGAACTGTGTCCTTACATGGGCTGCCTCCCATGTAAGCCTCGTTCAATGCCCCTCCTGCACTCCGCCACCCCCTTGCC